TTCACCATGTGGGCCAGGATGGTCTCAATCTCTTGACCTTGTGATTCACCCGCCTCGGCCTCCCAAAGTGCTAGGATTATAGGCGTGAACCACAGTGCCGGCCTAATTTTTTTTTTTTTATTTGAGATGGAGTTTCACTCTCGTTACCCAGGCTAGAGTGCAATGGCGCGATCTCGGCTTATCGCAACCTCTGCCTCCTGGGTTCAGGCAATTCTCCTGCCTCAGCCTCCTGAGTAGCTGGGATTACAGGCACATGCCACCATGCCCAGCTAATTTTTTGTATTTTTAGTAGAAACGGGGTTTCACCAAGTTGACCAGGATGGTCTCGATCTCTTGACCTCGTGATCCACCCGCCTCAGCCTCCCAAAGTGCTGGGATTACAGGCTTGAGCCGCCATGCCTGGCTTTTTTTTTTTTTTTTTTAAGTAGAGACAGGGTTTCTTCTTCTTGACCAGGCTGGTCTTGAACTTCTGGCCTCAAGTGATCTGCCCTTCTTGGCCTCACAAAATGTTGGGATTACTGGCGTGAGCCACCGCACCTGGCCTAAAAAAAAAAATGAAGTTTAAATACCTAGCGTTTCAATGAACCTGTGATAAACATTTTTTGTTTGCTTGTTTTGAGACGGAGTCTTGCTCTGTCGCCCATGCTGGAGTGCAGTGGTGTGATCTCAGCTCACTGTAACCTCTACATCCCAGGTTCAAGCTGATTCTTCTGCTTCAGCCTCCTGAGTAGCTGGGATTACAGGTGTGCACCACCATATCCGCCTAATTTTTGTATTTTTAATAGAGACGGGGTTTCACCATGTTGGTGAGGCTGGTCTCAATCTCCTGACCTCGTGATCTGCCCACCTTGGCCTCCCAACGTGCTGGGATTACATGTATGAGCCACCATGCCTGGCCTAAACATTTTTGTTATAAAGAAAATGAACATTCCTTAAGAGTGTGTGTTTATGTACACACACACACACACACATATATTTTTTTGAGAGATAGTTTTGCTCTTGTTGCCCAGACTGGAGTGCAATGGTGTGATCTCAGCTCACTGCAACTTCTGCCTCCCGGGTCCAAGCAATTATCCTGCCTCAGCCTCCCTAGTAGCCAGGATTACAGGCATCCACCACCACAACCGGCTAATTTTTGTATTTTTAGTAGAGACAGGGTTTCACCACGTTGGCTAGGCTGGTCTCGAACTCTTGACCTCATGTGATCTGCCTGTCTTGGTCTCCCAAAGTGCTGGGATTACAGGCGTGAGCCACCACACCCAGCCTCCTTAAGTAGTTTTAACTAACAGGTTTTCTCTGTTTCATTAAAGTACAGAACATCTGGGAAATCAGTGAAATCCTCACTAAAACGACATAGTTTTTGGTCTCCACTTGTAATAGTTTAATGCTTTATGATGTTTCAACCACATTAAAATATTAAAATAACAATTCCTTGTTCTGCAGAATATATAAGAAAATATTAATTTTTATTAGCATGGATAATATATTTTCAATTCTGAGTGTGACTCATTCTGATGATTTAATAATCACCTTTCAATTAAGATTTGATAAGCCAGAGAATTACACTCCAGAAATATTAATTTCCATTTTCTAGCTTCTTGGACAGATGTATGTATTCATACATGTAGCCATTTCATGGTATTTATTATTGTGATGTTTTTGCCATTTAAATTGACAGGAAAAAACCCACATTGAAATGTATTATATTTGACTGCTAGTAAAGTCAAATGTATTTCATTTGCTTCATAGATTTTTATTATGGGATATTGAATATGTACATAAAAGTGGACAATAACAGTGAATATCTTTGTGCTCACCATTTAGCTTCTATAATTATTAATTTATTGCCAGTCTTGCTATATTTAAACCCCTATCCTCTTGTATATTTTTTGAAGTAACTCCCAGACATCACATGATTTCATCCATACTTTAGTGTGCAAATGGTTTTTCATATGGTTATTATCCAGTTATATTAACCCTTCTGTGTACTATTTCTTGTCCAGGTTCATAGTGCATTTTTGTTCATTTTCTGTCTTTAATACATTTCTAACATATAGACAATAAATAAATAAAGGTTCGGTTTTCTGTATGGGCCTTAACTTGATGAAGGCAGTAAGTTCAACTTTGGACAACTGAAATTTGAAATGCTTGTGGGATATCCAATGATTACAGTTTTTAATAGTTTTTAGTAGACTGCTGCTTGATCCTTCAAAGTGTGAGTGGTGAAGGCTTAGTGCAGATAATGTTATTCAGGGAGATTTTGGTGGAGTGAAAAGTAAAAGGGGTAAGTGGATGTTTATAAAATATTTGAGGGATGGGCATAGAAAAAGACATCTACAAAGAAGACTGAGAAAAATGTTTTTGGGAAAAAGAAAAGTTTAGGAGTGTGACATCTGTGAAGGGAACAGTTAATAATGTCAGATGTAGTAGAGAGATCAAAGAAGATGATCAACAGAAATATGCGTTGGATTTTGTGGCTGACCAAATGAGAAAATAGTTGCAAACACAGGAGACAGTATGTTATTGTGATGCAAGACTTGGATTTGAATTTTGGCTGCTGCTTATCTTGCTATGTTATATTTGGAAATATTACTGGTTATTGCATTTTTGTTTCATATAGAAATGTAAGTGTAAACAAGAAAATAAAACATACACAAAATACACATGTATATCTGTTGAGACTGTTAGCTATTTGTTTCAAGAATATTCACCAGACATCTGGAAGCATAGTTACAATAGCTGCTTTTGTCTGATAATTCCAACATCTGTGCCACCTTGGGTTTATTGTGTATAGCTTGTCTTTTCTCTTGTGAGTTACTGATTTCCTTACTCTTCATATGTTGAGTTTGAATTGTTGTAATGGAACAGAAGGAGTTAATTAAGTTTACAAGTCATGGACAGACTTTATGTTGTCTTCATTTCCTTATCATTGGGAGTATTCCGAGCTCAGAATTTTCCCAATGCAAAAAAAGGCTCTGAAGAGCCGGACCTGGGAACCTGGCCAGTTCCCTGATCCAATTTTTGGTAAACACCTCAAGGATGTTAGTTACGTGATGAAGACGTGGACAGTGTCCTGACTTGACCCTTCTTTGTTTTAAAAAGTATAAAAGATTGTTTAGCAGAAGCCGAACTGAGCTTCGATGGTGATTTGGTTTGGACTTGCGAAAACCCGTGCTGCTTTACTGCCGGTGTTGAAGTTTCTGAGCGTCTCTAGGTATCCTTGTAAATAAACTTTTTTGCTTTCTTTGTAAATAAACTCTTTTTCTCTATATACCTCGGCTGGTGTTTTTCTTCCCACGAATCTGCCTGAAAAGATTAGAAAATCCAAACTTGGTACTGAGTAGTGCTCACACAATTGTATATTAGATATAGATATAGGTATAGATATACACACATACACACACACACACACATATATATATATATATATATATATTTTTTTTTTTTTTAAGACAGTGTCTTTCTCTGTCGCCCCGGCTGGCGTGCAGGGGTGCAATCTCCACTTACTGCAACCTCCACCTCCCAGGTTCAAGCTATTCTTGGCCTCAGCCTCTCGAGTAGCTAAAATTACAGGTGTACACCACCACACCTGGCTAATTTTTTTTTTCTTTTTTTGAGACGGAGTCTTGGTCTGTTGCCCAGGCTGGAGTGCAGTGACGTGAACTCGGCTCACTGCAACCTCTGTCTCCTGGGTTCAAAGGATTCTCCTGCCTCAGGCTCCTGAATAGCTGGGATTACAGGCACTCACCACCATGCCTGGCTAATTTTTATTTTATTTATTTTTTTTTTTGAGGCAGAGTCTTGCTCTGTCGCCCAGGCTGGAGTGCAATGGTGCAATCTCGGCCCACTGCAACCTCCGCCTCCCGGGTTCTTGCAATTCTCCTGCCTCAATTAGCTGGGACTACAGACGCACACGGCCAGGACCAGCTAATTGTTTTGTGTGTGTGTGTGTGTGTGTGTGTGTGTGTGTGTGTGTGTGTGTTAGTAGAGACGGGGTTTCACCATGTTGCCCAGACTGGTCTTGAACTCCTTTACCTCAAGTCATCTGCCCACTTTGGCCCCCCAAAGTGCTGAGATAACAGACATGAGCCACCGTGCTCAGCTTGTAGGACCCCTTGCGAGGTTCTGCTTTCTTGAAGTTTTAGGTCCCTGTCTAGCTGCTGCTGGTGTTACCACAGCTGCTCCCATGGGATTGCCTCAGCAAGGGCAGAGAAAAAGAAAAGTGGGGAGAAACCCAGAGAATTTTCCCTTTCTCTATCCAGTATTTAGAAATGTCCTCTTGACTTTGCCTCAGACCAAAACAAGAGATTTTTCCTTTGGAAAACTTCTGCCTGCACTTAGCCTGCAGTTCTGGGTTTTGAGCTGCCTTTGAGTCCAGGCTCAGGGGAGGTATCAGAGGGAAACAAAATTGGGAAAATCACTGCTGGACTAGTGGTACTTCTAGTTGTGGTTTTCTCCCTAAGCCACCTGCTACTATTTCCCAAGTCCTCAAATAGCTGCTCCATGCATTTTGTCCAGGTTTTTAGTTACATTCAGTGGGAGAGACAGAATGGACTATGCCTACTTTTCACTGGAACCAGAACATAGATATCACTTTAATTTTATTATAATTATATTGTTCACTTGTTTTGGTTAAGGATTTATTGTGTACCTGTGATTTACTAGGCTTTGCTGTACATTTACCAGGAAATGGATGATCTAACGTGCCTGCAGTAGGTTAGTGAAGATAGTGAAGGGATGTGGGAATGGAGGCAGAAGGTAAACAATTACATATTTATTAGTAGTGAATAATTGGGTTATTAATTTTAGCTTTTTTGGTCAATTTCTGCTTCAGGATTTGACTTACTGTTTATGACTGAGAGAAAGAAGATCTGATATATATTGTTAATTTTTCTTTGATTCTGAAATATAAGGAACGAAAAGTCTATATATGTATGGTCTGGATATAATTATTAAGGTACAGTTATAAGAAATATAATTACATATAGAATTATAAGAACTTAAAATAAGAAACAATTTTTTTATTATGTACTTGTTTCTCGGGTCTTAGAGAAGACCGAAGACAATTTCACATGTTTTACACTTTGCAACTTTGGCTCTAGAGTAAACTCCAAAGATTTCATGCCTTGATGCTGTGATTCTGGAGACAAATTAGAAAATCTGACACTAGTCAACATTGGTCCTGATGAGAACTTCCTAGTTGGCTCTGGTACCACCACCATTGATTTCATATCTTGCCATCCTGAAGTCAACTCCTGATAATTTATACCTTGCTGTTGGGCCCCTGGTGTCAGCTCCATAGGTTTTATATATTGAAAACATGGCGTTGGTGCAAAGACCACAGATTTAATGCATTGTGACCTAAAGCTTGATGTCAAAGAATTTACACTTTGAGGTTGTGGCCATAGAGTTGGCTTCACAGATTTCACATCTTGAGAAAGTGGCTCTGATACAAATAGCATAGATCTTACATTATGCTGCCTGAGGTGTGACTGCAACTCCTCAGAATTCATACCTTGAGGATATGGTTCTGATTTTAACTCCACAGATTTCATACCTTGAGGATATGGTTCTGATTTTAACTCCACAGATTTCATACCTTGAGGATATGGTTCTGATTTTAACTCCACAGATTTTATACCTTGAGGATATGGTTCTGGTTTTAACTCCACAGATTTTGCTTTTTGAAAACATGGCTCTAGTGTAAATACCTCATATTTTAAGTCTGGCAGCTCAGAGGCTGAAATCATTTTTGCAGTATTTGCATCATGAAGCAATGGCTGCTTATTTGTGTCCACAGACTTTACATCTTTAAGCAGTGGCTCTGGTAAAAATACCTCAGATTTTGTACCATTTATCTGAGGACCCAAAGTGAATGCAGGTTGCACAGCTTGCTGTGAGCCAAGGTGCTTCCCCAAGAATTGGACTCCTTGAAACTTAGTCCCTGGAGTTAACTTAGAAGATTTCACACCTTACAAGTGTGGTCTGGGATTGAACAGAATAGATTTTGTACCTTGAGATTCTGACCCAGGGTTCAATTCAGAGGGCTTCATGTCTCGTATCTGTGGCCCTGGATTTAAGTTGATAGAATTTATGCTTTGAAATTCTGGCTCTGAATTCAACTCAGAAGAATTCATACCTTGCAGCTGTGGGCCAGCGTTGAACTCCTTTGGTGTTGTATCTTGAAATTTTGTCCCTGAAGTCAGTTCACATTTTACATCTTGTAAATGTTGCACAGAGCTGAACATAACAGATTTTATACTTTGAAGCTCTGGCCCTGGATGCAACTCAGATTTCATAACTTGAAATTTTGACCCTGATTTTACATCTTGCAAGTGTGGCTCAAGTTTGCACTCCATAGAATTTATGCATTGTAACTTTAGCCCTGGATTCAGCTCAGAAGAACTTGCACACTGCACCTGTGGCCCAGGGTTGTATTCCATAGGTGCTACATGTAGAAACTTTGACCCTGGTATCAAATCAGATTTTAAATCTTGCAAATGTGGTCTAAGGTTGAACATCAAAGATGTCTTGCTTTGAATTTCTGTCCCTGGGTTCAATTCAGAACACTTCATACCTTGAAGTTTTGAAACTGAAGTTAACTTGGGAGATTTCATACCTTGTAAATATGGCTCTGTGTTGCACCCAATAGAATTTACACATTGAGCTTGTGGCTGTGGAATTAATGAAGAATTCACACCTTGCAAATGTGGCCCTGGGCTGCACCCAATAGAATTTGCACCCTGAAGTTTTGGCCCTGGAATGGGTGCAGAGGAATTTACACCTTGCAAGTGCAGCCCAGGATTGCACCCATTAAAATTTACACACGGAAGTGGTGGCTCTGGAGTGAATGCAGAAGAATTCACACCTTGCAAATATGACCCAGGGTTGCACCCATTAGGATTAACACACTGAAGTTTGGGCCCTAGAATGGATGTGGAAGAATTCACACTTTGTGGATCTGGCCTAGAATTATACTCAATAGAATTTATACCCTGAAGTGGTGGCTCTGGAATGGATGCAGAATAATTAATACCTTGCAAGTTTGACCCAGAGTTGAACCCATTAGAACTTACACACTGAAGTTTAGGGCCTGGAATAGATGCAGAAGAATTTACACCTTGCAAACATGGCCCACAGTTGCACCCAATAGAATTTGCACACTGAGGTGGTGGCTCTGGAATGGATGCAGAAGAATTCACATCTTGCAAATGTGGTCCAAGGCAGAACACCTTAGATTTCATACCTTGAAGCTCAGGCCCAGGATTAAACTTGGCAGATTTTATTCCTTGCAACTGTGGCCCAGGGTTGAAATCTAAAGATTGTATACCTTGAAGCCTTGTTCCAAAGTGCCACTCAGATTTCACACCTTGCAACTGTTCCTGAAGATTGAATTTCATAGATTTTACATCTTGAAGCTTTGTCCCTGTACATAATTCTGAAGGTTTTCTATATTGCAAATGTGGCCCAGGATCAAACCCCATAAATTTAGCACTTTGAAGGTCTGGCCATAGATTCAATTTATGAGATTTCTCATCTTGCTGCTGCTTTTCAGTATTGAACTCAGAAGGTGCCACATTGTGAATCTTTGATTCCGAGGCCAACTTAGAGAGTTCTGCAACTTGCAATTCTGGGTCATCGTTGCCTTCTGTAGAGTTCACTGTCTGAAGCTTTATCAACCCAGATTTCATATCTTGCAGCTTTGCCCCAGGATTGAATTCTACAGACTTCACACCTTGATGTTGTATCCCTGGTGTCGACATAAATAATTTTCTATCTTGTAACTGTGAGGTTGAGTTTAACCTCAACGAAGTCCTATCCTGTACCTTTGTACCTAGAGACAATTCAAAAGATTTTACATCTTGCTGCACTGGCCTAGGCATGAGCCCCACAGATTTCACTTTTTGAAGCTTTGTCACTGGGATCTCATCAGAAGATTTCATACCTTGCAATTGTGATTCAGAACTGAACTCCTTAGATTTTACGTCTTGAAGTTCTGTCCCCTTGATTGAGTTACAGTATTTCATATCTTGCCACTCTGGGCCTGAGTTGAACTCCACAGATTCCCTACCTTGAAGCTTTGTCTCTGGGGTTAACTGAAAAGATGTCACACCTTGTAACTTTGGACCATGGTTGTATTCTTCAGATTTTACATCTTGATAGTTTGTTCCTTGAATCAACTCAGAAGATTTTTCACCTTGTATCTGTTGTCCAGAATTGAAATACATTGATTTCATACTTTGAAGCCTTGTCCCTGAGGTTACCTCAGAAGATTTTATATCTTGAAAGTGTTGTCCAGAACTGAGCTTCACAGATTTTACATCTTGAAGCTTTATACCCATGATCAGATTGGAAGATTTTATATCTTGTAACTGTGGGCCTGATTCCAGCTCTACAGATTTCACACCTGGAGACTTTCTCCCCAGGGTCAAATCAGATTTCTCACTTTGTAACTTTGGACTAGGTTTGAAGTCTACAGGTTTCACACCCTGAAGCTTCACCCCTGCAATGATTTCAGATGATTTCACACTCTGTCAATGTGGTCCAGAACTGAAATCCATAGATTTAATGTCTGGAAGCTGTATACCCATGATCAACCTAGAAGATTTCAAATCTTGCAACTGTGGGCCTGAGTTGGATTACACTAACTTCACTTCTTGAAGATTTGTCTTTGATATCGACTCAGAAGATTTCACTCTGCAACTGTGGCCCAGGTTTGAAGTCTGTAGATTTGACAACTTGAATCTTGGTCTTCATGGTCAAATCAGAATGTGGGATATTTTTCAACTGTGAGCTGGGGTTTAACTCTATAAATTTCATATCTTGGGACTTTGTCTTAGGGTTCAACTTAAAAGATTTGACACATTGCCACTGTGGCCCAGAGCTAAACTCCTCAGATTTCATACCTGGAAGCTTTGTCTGAGCCAACTCGGATGATTTCGTGCTTTTCGTGTAGTAAGAAGTTGAGCCCTACAGTTTTATCACTTTGTAATTGTAGCTCTTGGCTTAATACTCCAGATTTCACCCCTGAAAACTGTGGCTTTTGTGTAAACACTAGGGACTTCACATCTTGCTGCTGTGTTCTTGGATATGCCTGCAAGGGTTTCACTTTGTGCAGCTGTGGTCTTGGGGTCAACTCAGAAGATTTCACATCTTGCAAATGAAGCCCAGGTTTGAATGCCATAGATTTTATATCACAGAGCTTTGATGTTGAAATTGGGCCACATGATTTCACACTTCTCAACTGTAACCCAGATTTCAAATCAATAGTTTTGAACCCTGGCACCTGATGTTCCTGGAATGTCATAGGTGGTACATTATAAAGCTTTGGCCTTGGAGTCAACTCAGATGACTTCACATCTCTTAATTGTATTGAAGTTTTCAATTCTATAGGTGTAACAGCTTGAGATTGTGAACCACATTTTAGCATAGATTTCATACCTTGGAACTCAGGTACTGGTATCCACTGCACAGATTTCACACTTCCAAGCTGTGAGTCTTGGTTTAACTCCACAGTTTTTACCCCCTGAAGCTGTGACTCTGAGGTTGATGCCAGAATTTTCCCTTTTGGCAACTGTGGTCCTTGGGACAACTTAGGAGTTTTCACAAATTGCAACCGTTAAACTCCACAGGTTTTGCACCTTGAATTTTTGGCCCTAGAATCAATTCAGATGATTTTACACCTCCTGACTCTATGGAGGATTTCAACTCTGCAGGTTTCACACCTCGAGATTGTGAACCAAGATTCAGCCCTCCAGTTTTTACATCTTGGAACTCAGGACCTGGTATCCACTGTACAGATTTTGCACTTCCAAGCCGTGAGTCTTGGTTTAACTCCACAGTTTTCACACCTTGAAGTTGTGGCTCTGAGCTTGATGCTGGAATTTTCCCTTTTTGCAGCTGTGGTCCTTGAGAAAACTCAGGAGCTTTCACACAGTGCAACTGTGACCCAAGGTTAAACTCCATAGATGTTGCACTTTGAAGTTTTGGCCCGAGAGGCAGTTGAGATGACTTTACACATCCTGACTCTATGGAAGATTTCAACTCTGCAGGTTTGACAACTTGAGATTGTGAACCAAGATTTAACCCTGTAGGTTTCACACCTTGGAACTCAGGTCCTGGTAGCCACTGCACAGATTTCACACTTCCAAGCTGTGAGTCTTGGTTTAACTCCACAGTCTTCACACCTTGAACTTGTGGCTCTGAGCCTGATGCCAAAATTTTTCCTTTTTGTAGTTGTGGTCCAGCAGACAACTCAGAGGCTTTTACACACTGCAACTGTGCCCCAAGGTTAAACTCCATAGGTTTTGCACCTTGAAGTTTTGATGTTAGAACCAAATTAGATGCTATCATATCTCCCAACTGTAAGGAAAGTTTCAACTTTGCAGATTTGACACTTCGAGACTGTGGCCCAAGATTTAATCCTACAGATTTTACACCTTGGAACTCAGGTCTTGTTATCCACTGAACAGATTTTATTCTTCCAAGCTCTGGCTCTTTGTTTAACTCTATGATTTTCACACTTTGAAGCTGTGGCATTGCAGTTGAGCCCAAAGGTTTCGCTTGGTGCAACTGTGGTCCTGGAGTCAACTTGGGAGATTTCAGACTTTGCAACTGTGGTTCATGTTTGAACTCTTCAGCTTTTACATCTTGAATATTTGGTTCTGGAGTCAATTCAGATGATTTTATACCTTTTGACTGTAGGTCAGACTTGAGGTCTACAGATTTTATACCTTCAGATTTTGACTCTGGAATTAACTCCAAAGACATTATACCTTCTGACTCAGACCCTCTCTTTACTTGCTCAAAATTCACACTTTGCTGCTCTAGTGAGTTTACAGATATCTGACCATCCTGTTCTGGCTCAAGGGTTAAATCCACAGGTTTTACTTCTTCAAACTCTTGTCCTCTGGTTACATTCACAGATTTTACTAACAGTCTTTTCTGCCTTGGGGCAAACTTTACAGATTTTACACATTGTAGATGTGGATCTTGAGTCTCCTTTATAGATTTTAAACTTGGAAGCTTTAAACATGGAGTAATCTCCACAAATTTCATATCTTGCATTTGTGGGACTGAAGTCAGTTCCTCAGGTTTCATGCTTTGTAGCTGAGGCCTTTGAAGCATCTCCGTAGATTTAACCCCTTGAAGCAATGGCTCTGGTGCAAAAGCCATAGGCTTCTCACCTTCCATCTTTAGCCCAAATTTTAATTTCACAGCTTTCATATTGTGCAGCTGTGTATCTGGGACCAACTCCACAGATTTTACATCTTGAAGCTCCAAATCAGGGATGAATTCCACAGCTCTGAAATCTTCTCTCTGTGACTGTAAGCTTATCGCCACAGATTTCCCACCTTCCCGCTGTGGACTTGGAGTTATTTCCATAGATTTCATCCCTTCCAGGCATGGTCCTGGAGTTAAGGTCACAGATTTTGTATCTTCTAACTGTGACTGTGAGGTCAGCAACTCAGATTGGAGCTTTGAGCCTGGTGTTACCTCCTCAATTTTATACCTCCTGCCTGTGGCTCTGGGGTTAACATGATAGATTTGACATCTTCCAATTCTGGCTCTGGTGTTAACTGCCTAGTTTTCATATCTCCCAAATGTGGCCCAGGGATTAATTCCACAGATTTCATATCTTCTAGCTGTGGCTCTGGGGTTAGCTTTTCAGATTTGAAACCTTGAAGTTTTAAGACTAGGCTCTCCTCCACAGGATTTACATCTTGGAACTGTGGTCCTTGTATCAATCCAGAAGATATCATATCTTGTAACTGTGGTTTTCTGGTTAACTCAGAATGATTTACACTGGGCAACTGTGGCCCCGGAGTCAAGTCCATGGATTCTGCATCTGGCATTTGTGGCTCCGAGAGTAATTTACTCGAAACTTCAACTTCAAGGCTTGGCACTTGATTGCCTACTACATATTTTACATCTTGAAACAGTGGCTCTGGTACTAACTCAGGCTTAATCCCTTGCCCCTCTGGCCCTGGAGCCATTGCCATAGGTGGTACCCCTTGCATCTTTGGCCCTGGGGTCAACTCTAAAAATTGTACACATTGTAGCTGTGGCCCTGAGTTTAATTCTAAAGATTTCACACCCTGAGGTTGAGTTCCTGGTACTAAATCAAAAATTTTGACATCTTGTAGGTGCAGCTCTGAGTTAAGCCCTTCCTGTTTGATGCTTTGAGTTCCTTGAGACATCTTTGCTAATGTGGAATCTTGCAGCCCTAACTCTGGAACCACCTCTACAGAATTCACACTGTGAAACACCGATCCTGGAGTTTGATCCCCATATGTGACACCTTGCAGCTTTGGCCTTGAAGTCAATTCAGAAAATTTGAGATATTGCTGCCAAGGCCCTAGGTTTACTTCCTCAGATTTTACACTTTAAAGTGGTAGTTCTGAGGTCAGTTTTGCAGATTTCATCCTTTGAAACTGTGATCCTTCAGCAGACAGAACAGATTTCATGTCTTCAACATGTGGCCCTTGGCTTAACTGCAAAGATGACTGTGCTATGAAACCTAGAGACTTTACATCTTCAGGCTGAGCTCCTGGTGTCATCTGCATATGTTTGAAACCTTGGTGCTTTGACCCTGGGATCAAATCAGAAAATTTGACATCTTGCAAGCCTAGTCCTGGGTTTAGTTCCACAAATTTCACACCTTGAGGTTGTGGTTCTGGAGTCAACTGTACAAATTTGACACTTTGAGGTGTTAGGTCTGGGATAAAATCTGAGGTCAGTTCATCCGATTTCGCACCATAATGTAGGGGTTGTGAGAGTAAATCTACAGGTTTTTCTCCTTGAAGAAGTGGCCCTGGAAATACCTTTGAAAATCTGACACTTTGTGGCTGTGGCCCTGGGGTCAATCCAGAAGATTTGACACTTGGCTGACATGGGCCTAGATTTAAATCCACAGAGTTTACATCTTGGAGCTCTGCCCTCTTAGTCAAATCCTCCAATGGCGTACTTTGTAGCGGTAGCTCCGGTATCATCTTCTCTGATTCTACCACTCTTGTAGTTGACTGTTGGATTAAATTCACATGTTTCACGTCTTGCAACTGTGACTCTAGATCCAACTGCATAGACTTTCCTCCCTGGACCTGTGGCCCTGGAGTCAGGTCTGTAACATGTGGTTTTGGTTCTGTAAATAACTTTTTAGATCCTATCACTAATGGAGATGACTCACTGGTTAACTCTGCAGATTTCAAATTTTGCAGTAGTGGCTCTGATTTCTCACATTGCATGTCTGGTCCTGGAGTCAACTCCAGAACTCCTGTTTCTGAATCTAGTGGTAGTGGGATAACTCCCCGGGTCTTACCAACTTGAGGCAATGCCAACCCCACAGTTTCTGTGTCTTTATGTTCTGAGGTGGGGGGTGTCTCTGACAACTCAGTAATTTCTGAGCATGGCCCTAGATTGCCATGAACAAACTTCATATCATGGGGCTGTGGCTCTGTGGTCAACACTTCTGATTTCACACTTTGTATCTCTGATCCTGGTATCAAATTCAGAGATTCTTTTGTTGTGTGTTGTGATACTGGAGTTTCCCCATTGCTTTTCCAAGTTGATGCATTGTCTCAAGAGTGTCTTGGAATGACACTGAGCTCATCTCCACAGATTCTGAAGTTTGGCTGAGTGGCCCTGGGGTAGTTCTTAAAGATGGTTGGGTCAACCCAATAGATTTTTGCACTTGGTGACGAGTGTCAGAGGTCAACTTTGCTTCTTTTTCTTGAGATCCTGGCTCTGAGGTCATCTCTAAAGATTCTGAGGCTTGATGCCATAGGGTCACTCTTTGAGGCTCTGTGGCTTGATGATTTGGTTTGGGGCTCATCTCTGCAGCTTTTACTTCCTGAAGTTGTGTCCCTTTGGTCAGTTCCCCATATTTCATAACTTGCACATGTGTCTCAGGAATTAACCTCCTACATTTTACTATTTGAGGAGTTGTCACATCTTCAAACAATAGTACTGGGGCCATCTTCTGAGACCTGACATCTTGTAACCGTGGCTTTGGGGCCAATTCAGCAGATTTTTTGTCTTCCATTGGTGGTCTTAGCTTCAATTCCACAGTGTTTATATCTTGACACTCTGGTGGTAGGACCAGATGAACAGATCTTCTACCTTGCAACTGTGAACCTGGGGTCAAACCACTAGATTCTGTAACATATGGCTGTGCTCGTGGAATTATCCCCGTGGAATCCATGGCTTGTAATGGTGCTACTGGAATTACTCTCACACAATGCATGACTTGAGGTAATGGTGCTGAGATCACTTCCGATGATTTTGTGCCTTGACATATTGGCCCTGGAATAGTCTTTCCTTGTTCCATGACTTGACTTTGTGATCCTGAGGTCATGTCAACTGATTCCACGACTTTATGCTGTGGCCCTGGCATCATTTTCACAGTTTCCATAACTGCATGTTGTGGCCTTTGATTCATCTTTTCTGGTTTTGTGACTTGATGGTTCAATATTGTGTTCATCTTCACTGACTCTATGGCTTGATATTGTGGTGTTGGAGTTGTTCCACTATTTCTGTATGTGGGTGTGATTTATTAATCTTCCCCACAGAATCCATAACTTGAAGCAGTGCTACAGGAGTTACTTTCTTTTTATCTGTGACTTGATTCATTAATCTCGTGGCCATCCTCTCTGATTCCACAACTTGGTGCTTTGGCCTTGGGGCTGCCTCCATTGACTGAATGACTTGACTTGGTGGTTTGAGGGTTATGCTCTTTGTTTTCATAGTTTCCATTGGTTTCACAACTTGACTTGGCAGCTGTGGGAACAAACCCACAGATTCTGAATGTGATTCTGGGATCATCCCCATTGAATCTATGACCTGAAGTAATGCCAATGGAGTTACCTTTATGCTGTCTTTGACTTGATATGGTAGACTTGGTACCAAGTCCACATTAGTCTCTTGTGTCTTGTGCTGCTGTATGCTTTTTTCTGGAAAACCTATGACCCTCTTCTCTATACTAAGCTCTAGTATGTGTTTTGGCTCTTTCTTCAGCAAAGCGTTTTCCTCTTCAATTACATTAACTCCTAAACTTCTTGGAGGTAGAGTGCCCACTGATGTAACTAAAGGCTTGGATCCAAGGATTTGGGGGCCATCCCCAGGTTGTAACTGCTTGCCTGAGATAAGTGACTGTGAAAGGTTTGTTTCTGTGCTATTTGTTCCAGATCCCACTTCAGCATTCACATGAAGCGGAAATGATGGAAGGTCTGGGGAATTTTTGTTAATATTTTGCTCAGTGCTTTGATTAATGGGCATAGATAACTGAGTTTGGAGGTTATTTGATTCAGCGACTCCTCTTTGTACTTCAGTTAAATAATTGAGCATCGCCCATGATTTCCTCACAGGTAAAGGTACTGTGTGTTGCTGCAAAGCAAAAGCCTTCTCAGAAATATGTCTTTTTAGCTTTCTTCTAACCGAAGGAGAGAGCTTGAATGGAGCCCACCTTGGGAGTTGTGGTCTCTCCTTGGAAACAGAATTCAGCTCGTGATCTGATGTCAAATGACTCTTGCTCCTTCTCTCATCTTTTTTTTCCCCTTTTTTGTTTGCAGATATTTAGAGGCTCAGAAATAGAGTTGATAAAAGGGCTCTGAGATTGTAAGGGTGAAAGATCTGTCAAATTCTGAAAAAGGTTTGATTTCTGGGGCTCTGATAGCTGAAAAGGAGGCATGGTTGTGCCTTGGTTCTCAAACACAGATGGCTGCTTTCTGTGGGAAATAGGTAAACTATGGCTCTGGCATTCCCAAGTTGTTCCTTTAGAACAACTAGAGTTACTGCATGATGATCTAAAGGAGATGCTGTGGTCAGTAGAATGTTTTGCTTTCTTATAATCACAACAGTGTAGAACAGTCTTCTGAGCCACAAGAACAGAGTAGTTCGAGCAAATCCTGTTCCATAAGCCTTGATCTAAGAAGTAAAGAGAAATGTTTCAGTTTGCATTGAAATAGGAAAAAGAAAGAAGTGGCTATTTCAAATGCAAAATATTTTTGGCCTGAAGGAGAATTGGGGGGAAGAAAAGTTTCTTCCGCCAACATCAGTTACGTATAGAAAGAATTCCTCTACCAGGACAAAGGGAGAAAACTGTTCCCAGCCTACCTAGAAATGACCCTTCGACCGGTTTGAACCCTGAACTTCCTCCACAGACAAAATGAACTCTCTCTCTCCCTCCTTCCTCCCCTTCCTTCCTCCTTTTTAAAACCTCTTCCAGAAACTACAATGCCTGACCTTGCACTTTTCAGGTGTTGGGAGATCTTTTGAAGAGTCTGCATCATTGACCAGAGTGTATATTCCCAGTTCCCAGGGAGTTCTGAAACACTGGATGCAACACTATTTGTGAATGTAATTGAATTCTCATTAAAATACCAGTAAGGAAAACAGCAAGAGAGATTTAACTTAGAAAAGAGAAAGCTAACATAGTGAAGGAAGGAAAACAGGGTACCAGGTACTTTACTTCTAACTTTCACAGAGTTTATCAGTAGAATTGGTTGAAGACAGGCTTTACTCACCATGTCAGGTTAGCTTCACTGCAAGCCATCCCGAGGGTTTCTTTCCTCTGTGGATCTGGAAGAAGAGGTGAAGAATCTGTCAGCATCATGATTATCAACATCATTTCATCCAACACCCTCTTTTTGCAAAGAAGGAAATAAAGATGAAGTTATGCCCAAGATTATGAAGCTAATTAGTGGTAGATCTCAGACTTAACCCATCTCAACATTTTTCAAAAAGCTACACTGCTTCCATCATACATGCTGCCTTCATCATACAGTAGATGTAAGCTATATACATTGGGAAGGAGAGGAATAATCATAGTAATAAGAGGGGCCATGATACATATCTTTTCCTCCAAAGGAATCTATCCAGTATCTATGGTGGGGGACAAAAGATAGGGAAACTTCCCTCACCAAACTCTTGGTAGTCATCCTTTGTCCATTTTACAATCTCATCAAATTTCCTTCCCAATACCTTGGGATTTGAAGAAAAGGAGCTGAGGAGAGGAAGCATTAGGAAAGGAACCATGGAGCTGTATACAGACAGCTCTTTTTTTTTCTAATCTTATGACAGATTAAACATACATCTCTTTAGACATGGAGATACTGGAAGAAGCACACTTCTTCCATTTACATCCTCTTTTCCAACCTCCCTCCACCTGCTATTTAAGGCTAGAGGCATAAGGCAGATCTATAATTGCTCTGTCATTAACCTGGAACTGAAGAGTAAAGGATAGAATCATTCTGACCTGTTAATTTCTGGATCTTTTTCCATCTATGGTGCTTTGAAGTCTATAGAAGCACAAAAAGAAAATCAGATTATGTTCTAGGTTAGAGACTTTATTGACAGCACATCTCACCTTTTAGATATCAGATATTGATACATCTCATGTATCAGGTATTGATAGAGTTGGCACCCATAACCATACATAAATATATAGAGGATAGTGATTAACTTCCTAAGAAGGGAAGAATTACTCAAGAAGTTACATTTGTACTGGAGTTTAAAGAATCAGCATAAGACTTTTAGGTGAAGAAAGAGTATTTCAGGCAAACGGAAACATCACTGAGATCAGCATGTCATGAAGGTGAGGTGCACTTTTGCTAAGTAGTGGGAGATGCTAGGCTGACAGGGTAGATGGAAGCCAAGTTATGCCTAATGATAAAATTTTAATTTTATTCTATAGTTGGAAAACTCCCAAGGTTTTTGCAAAATGCTCCAGGTCATTTTAAAGGAGTAATGGCATTTGTTACCATTTCAAATGAAACAGTTTTTTTTTTTTTTTTGAGACATAGTCTTGTTCTGTCACCTAGGCTGGAGTGCAGTGGTGTGATCTCGGCTCACTGCAACTTCCACCTCCTAGGTTCAAGTGATTCTCCTGCCGCAGGCTCCCGAGGAGCTGGGATTATAGGCATGTGGCACCATGCCTGGCTAATTTTTGTATTTTTAGTAGAGACGGGGTTTTGCCACGTTGGCCAGGCTGGTCTCAAACTCCTGACCTCAGGTTATCCACCCGCCTCGGCCTCCCAAAGTACTAGCTGGGATTATAGGCGTGAGCCACCACTCCCAGCCCAGCAGCCTTTTAATACCGAATTAAGCTTCTCAAAAAAGAGTAAGGGAAATCGTTGCAGGCCAAAAATAAGGAGAAAAGTGAAAAACGTGAGTGGAATGTCATCTGATATTTCAATGCCCTACATCATTTGTAGCATCAATCACAAGGGATTTGGGTTAACAATGAAGTAGGAACAGAAGACAAGGCCCATGTGAAGTGTGTATTTGGAATTGAGGCCTTGGGAAAAAGTCAGAATTCTCAAAGTGCCACATGTTTAGTGGAAAGGTGACTAGGAAAAAATCTGCCCACTACAAGAAAATTTGTACTCTAGGTGGGGAAAACAAACAAACAAACCCTTCTCTGAGAATTTGAACCATGAGTCTATACTCATACCGGCTCGGCATTCTAATTAAACCCACTGTGTAGCCAGGAACCCTCAAACTGAAAATAAAAGTGGAGTGAAACTGGGCTGGTAGTTCTTTAGGGTAAAAGATGAAAGTAAATGTAAATCTCCTTGGAAATTAAAAAGAAGTAGAAGTGGTCAGGTGCAGTGGCTCATGACCATAATTCAGCATTTTGGGAGGCTGAGACAGGAGGATCCCTTGTGCCCAGGAGTTTGAGACCAGCCTGGGCAACATGTGAGACTCTGTTTCTACAAAAAATAAAAAATAATTTTAAAAAATTAGCTGGGGTGGCCAGGCACAGTGGCTCACACTTGTAATCCCAGCACTTTGGGAAGCCGAGGCAGACAGATCACTTGGGGTTGGGAGTTCCAGACTAGCCTGGCCAACATGGTAAAACCCCGTCTCTACTAAAAATACAAAAATCAGTCAGGCATGGTGGTACATGCCTGTAGTCCCAACTACTCAGGAGGCTGAGGCAGGAGATCACTTGAACTCGGGAGGTGGAGGTTGCAGTGAGCCAAGATCATGCCACTGCACTCCAACCTGGGCAACAGAGCAAGAGTCAGTCTCAAAAAAAAAAAAAAATTAGCTGGGTGTGGTGGTGTATGCCTGTGGTTCCAGATACTTGGGTGGCTGAGGTAGGAGGATCTCTTGAGCCCAGGAGGTCAAGGCTGCAGTGAGCTGTGATCCTGCCACTACACTCTCCAGCCTGAGTGACACAGCAAGACGCTGTCAGAAAAAAGAGAAAGAAAAGAAAGAGAGAGAGAGAGAGGAGGAGGAAGAAAACAGTTTGAATAAGTACATATTAATAACGTGAAAACTCTGATAAAATAGTTAAATGTTTAGAAAAAAAATAAGATACCAAAATTGGGCAAAAAGGAATAGATCATTTGAGTAGACCAGTAAGTATGAAAGCAGTTGAAATGATAATCAGACATTCTTCATCAGACCTATAAGATAATTCACCAAGGTTTCTGAATACCAGAACTACAGACTCGACTTACAAATATCAATAACATTACTACAGTAAAAACTATAAAAATATTATTTAAAATACTAAAAGATATTCTTCACAATAGCAATAAAAATGATAAAAGTAGCAAGGTGTTAAGTAAACCAAGAATACAGAAGACTTCCATGTAGAAAACTATAAAATGCTAATAAAAGACATAGAAGATGATCATAATAAATGGAGAGACAGTCCAAGTTCTTGGTTGGAATAACTTGAAATTACAAAGATGTCGTTATTCCCCAAATTAATTTTTTTTTAAGACAGTCTTGCTCTGTCAGCCAGGCTGGAGTGCAGTGGTGTGATCTCGGCTCACTGCAACCTTCGCTTCCTGGGTTCAAGCAATTCTCCTGCTTCAGCTGCCCGAGTAGCTGGGACTACAGGTGTGCGCCACCAGGCCTGGCTAATTTTTGTATTTTGAGTAGAGACAGGGTTTCACCATGTTGGTGAAGCTAGTCTTGAACTCCTGACCTCATGATCCACCTGCCTTGGCCTCCCAAAGTGCTAGGATTACAGGTGTGAGCCACCAGCCCAGACAAATTAAATTATGTATATATGTGTGTGTCTTTATATAGACATATTTTTGTTTGTTTGTTTGTTTATTGAGACAGGGTCTTGCTCTATTGCCTAGGCTGGAGTGCAGTGGCATGATTCACTACAGACTCGACATCCTGGGCTCAAGTAATTCTCCTGCCTCAGCCTTCCAAGTAGCTGGGACTATGGGTGCATGACCCCACACCTGGCTAATGTTTTTTATTTTTATTTTTTGTAGAGACAAGCTCTCATTATATTACTCAGGCTTAAATAATATTTTAATGCATTCCCAATTCATATTTCATTTGGAATGTTTGAAGAACTTGTTAAATGCTCTAAAATTAATATGACAAAATAAAGGTCTACTAATAGCTAAACCAACCTTAAAAAGAAGAGCAAAGGAGTGACTTGTTGTACCAAACAGCAAATATACAAACACTAAGACAAAGCTGTAGGAAATAAAAACAGGAACAAGTAGACCAATGGAACAGATAGCTCAGAGACAAACTTATGTATACATGGCAAATTATTATAATAAAGGGAGTTCCATAAATCAATGGGAAAATGATTATTTAGCAAACAGTGATGAGAGCCGGGCACAGTGACTCATGCCTATAATCCCAGCACTTTGGGAGGCCAAGACAGGCAGATTGTTTGAGCTCAGGAGTTCCAGACCAGCCTGGACAATGTGGGGAAACCCCATTTCCACAAAAAATACAAAAAATTAGCCAGGCGTGGTGGCACACACCTGTGGTCCCAGCTACTTGGGAGACTTAGGTGGGAGGGTCACTTGAGCCTGGGAGGCGTAGGTTGCAGTGAGCTGAGATGGTATCATTGCACACCAACCTGAAACAGTGAAACAGTGAAAGCCTATCTTAAAAAAAAAAAAAAAAAAAAAAAAGGCCAGGCATGGTGGCTCATGCCTGTAATCCCAGCACTTTGGAAGGCCGAGGCGAGAGGATCACGAGGTCAGGAGTTTGAGACCAACCTGACCAACATGGTGAAACCCCGTCTCTATGTTAAAGAAAAAAGAAAAAAAAAGAAATGGTTATGGGAAAACTGGCTCACTATAAAGAAAAATAAAGTTGGATCACTTCCTAATACCACATATAGAGGTGGACTCCAAGTATATTAAAAACTAAACTGTGAAATGTAAGACTGGAACATAGAAAAAAAGGTAGGAGAAAATCTTTGTGACCTAAAGCAGAGAACTCCTTAAGGAAAACTTCAGAAAAATAAACCATAGGCATAATTGCTAAAAAAGAAGAATTTAAATGTTTCCGCCACACACAAAACAGATAAGTGAGATGGCTATGTTAATTTACTTGATTTAGTCAATCCACATGTAAACATGCAGCAAACCATCACATTATACCCCACAAATGTATACATTAGTATGTCTCAAATTTCAAAAAAAAAAATTTTTTTTTTTTTTTGAGATAGAGTTTCCCTCTGTCACCCAGGCTGGAGTGCGATGGCTCAATCTAAGTTCGTAGCAACCTCTGTCTCCTGGGTCAAGTGATTCACATGCCTCAGCCTCCCAGATAAGCTGGGATTACAGGCATGCACCATCATGCCCTGCTAATTTTTGTAGTTTTTGTAGAGATGGGGTTTTACCATGTTGGCCAGGCTGGTCTAAAACTCCTGACCTCAAGTGATTTGCCCACTTTGGTCTCTCAAAGTGCTGGGATTACAGGTGTGAGCCACCATGCCCGGCCTCTCAAAAAATTTTTAATCCAGTAGAACACCCTCCCACATTCAAATGGAACCTCAAAATGACAAATCTGCCACTCATTCCTAACCTCAGGTAACTACAAAGAAAGTTGCCTTCACACTGAGAAGTTCAGTGTGAGTCTGAGGTGAAGTCTCTGGGAAGACATAACCACAAGCTCATTTCTGTATATTTGGCAGCTCAAGTTCACATTATCGGAGTTGTCCCAAAAACTCTTCAAGCCATGAATTTAAAATGCTCCTGGACTGATGGTGCCAGAGTCAAAAGTAAATGAAATACTCTCTGAGGAAAATCTTTATCTTAGGCTTCAAAATCTCCACAAATGTTCTATTTTATTGAATTTAAGATGCTACTGATTACAAAATATACCATCAATTTATACGCTAGTAGAATGAAAAAAACACACTGTTAAATTATTAAGTACCATCAATTGTAAGACATACCCCAATATCAGAAATGTTAACTATTAAAAAAATAAGCATAAGCACAGAAACAAACCTGCAAAGATGTCAGGTATTGGAATTATCAGATGTCAATTAGAAAACCCCTAAGCATATTAT